TAAGGTCCACCCCGAACAAGACTGTAGGATTCCTGCTCTCCTCATCTGAACCCTTCAGAAAGGGGTTCCCAGGGCTGGGAATGAGGGGAGAGCAGCTCCAAGAATCAGGAACACGCCGGGCGTGGTGGCTCACACCTGTCATCCCAGCACTTTGGGAGGCTGAGGTGGGCAGATCATCTGAGATCAGGAGTTTGAGACCAGCCTGGCCAACATGATGAAACCCCATCACTACTAAAATTACAAAAAAAAAAAAAAAAAAATGGGGTAGGTGTGGTAGCTCATACCTGGAATCCCAGCACTTTGGGAGGCTGAGGCAGGCGGATCATCTGAGATCAGGAGTTTGAGACCAGCCTGGCCAACATGGTAAAACCCCATCATTACTAAAATTACAAAAAAAAAAAAAGGGCTGGGCACGGTGGCTCACATCTGCAATCCCAGCACTTTGGGAGGCTGAGGAGGGTGGATCACCTGAGGTCAACAGTTCGCAACCATCCTGGCTAACACGGTGAAACCCCGTCTCTACTAAAAATACAAAAATTAGCTGGGTGTGGTGGCGGGCGCCTGTAGCCCCAGCTACTCGGGAGGCTGAGGCAGGAGAATCGCTTGAACCCGGGAGGCGGAGGTTGCAGTGAGCTGAGATCACACCGTTGCACTCCAGCGTGGGCAAAAAGAGTGAAACTCCGTCTCAAAAAGAAAAAAAAAATTACAAACAAATTAGCCAGGCGTGGTGGCAGGTTCCTGTAGCCCCAGCTACCCAGGAGGCTGAGGCAGGAGAATCGCTTGAACCCGGGAGATGGAGGTTGCCGTGAGCTGAGATAATGCCATTGCACTTCAGCCTGGGCAACAGAGCAAGACTCCATCTCAATTAAAAAAAAAAATCAGAAAGAACCATCCATAGAGGATGAATAAACACAATTTGTCCATCCATACAGTGGACAATATTTTTATTTATATAAATAATATTTTTATTTGTATTTTGCCCCCCAAAAGCTATTTTTTAAAAGACCTGGTTATACAAATGATGGTATTTTACAACTGAGGGAATAGATAATTAAAATATTCATGTCACCACATTAATAGACCTAAAGAAAAATGTGATTATTTTCATAGATGCTGAAAAGGCCTTTCATAAAATTTTAATAACCATTTCTGATTAGAAAAAAAACCACGCATGTTTTATATTAATTCATAGACTCTTACCATTGCAAAGTACGTATATCTCATTATGGACTTACATTTCTTCTTTTTTTTTATTATTATACTTTAAGTTCTAGGGTACATGTACACAACGTGCAGGTTTGTTACATAGGTATACATGTGCCATGTTGGTGTGCTGCACCCATTAACTCATCATTTACATTAGGTGTATCTCCTAATGCTATCCCTCCACCCTCCACCCTCCCCACAACAGGCCCCAGTGTGTGATGTTCCCCTCCCTGTGTCCAAGTGATCTCATTGTTCAATTCCCACCTATGAGTGAGAACATGCGGTGTTTGGTTTTCTGTTCTTGCGATAGTTTGCTGAGAATGATGGTTTCCAGCTGCATCCATGTCCCTGCAAAGGACGTGAACTCATCCTTTTTGATGGCTGCATAGTATTCCATGGTGTATATGTGCCCACACAATGGACTATTATGCAGCCACTAAAAGGACTTAAGCTCTGACACAGACTCCTGTGTGGATGAACTTTGAAGACTCCAGGCTCAGTGACAGAAGCTGGACACAAAAGATCACATATTGTCGAATTTTCTTCTTATAAAATGTCTAGAATAGGCTAATCCACAGGGACCAGAAAGCAGATTTGAGGTTGACAGGGGCTGAGGACAGGAAACAACAGGATCGACAGTTGTGGGGTTCTCAACGGTTTTTGTTTTGTGTTGTGTTGTTTTGTTTCGAGATGGAGTTTCGCTTTTGTTGCCCAGGCTTGAGTGCAATGGTGTGATCTCGGCTCACTGCAACCTCTGCCCCACACAGTGGTTCAAGCGATTCTCCTGCCTCAGCCTCTGGAGTAGCTGGGATGACAGGCACCCGCCACCACACTCGGTTAATTTCTTGTGTATTTTTAGTAGAGATGGGGTTTTACCATGTTAGCCAGGCTGGTCTCGAACTCCTGACCTCAGGTGATCCACCCGCCTCGGCCTCCCAAAGTGCTGGGATGACAGGTGTGAACCACGATGCCTGGCCAGGTTCTGAGTTTTGTTCAGGGAGGAAAATGGCTCTGGAATTGCATGATGGTGTTGTTTACACATCTGTGAATATATTAAAAACCATTGAAATGTATGAATGAGCGAAAGGTTATGGTATGTAATATGTAACTCACATCTTGGTAAAGCTGTTTTTTGTTTGTTTTGTTTTTTATTTTATTTATTTATTTATTTTTGAGATGGAGTCTCACTCTGTCACCCAGGCTTGAGTGCAGTGGCACCATCTCAGCTCACTGCAAGCTCCATCTCCTGGGTTCACGCCGTTCTCCTGCCTCAGCCTCCAGAGTAGCTGGGACCACAGGCACCTGCCACCACGCTAATTTTTTTGTGTTTTTTTTTTTTAGTAGAGACGGGGTTTCACCATGTTAGCCAGGATGGTCTCGATCTCCTGACCTGGTGATCCACCCGCCTCGGCCTCCCAAAGTGCTGGGATGACAGGTGTGAACCATGATGCCTGGCCAGGTGCTGAGTTTTGTTCAGGGAGGCAAATGGTTCTGGAATTGCATGATGGTGTTGTTTACACATCTGTGAATATATTAAAAACCATTGAAATGTATGAATGAGCGAAAGGTTATGATATGTAATATGTAACTCACATCTTGGTAAAGCTGTTTTTGTTTTTGTTTATTTTATTTTATTTATTTATTTATTTATTTATTTATTTTTGAGACGGAGTATTGCTCTGTTGCCCAGGCTTGAGTGCAGTGGTGCCATCTCAGCTCACTGCAAGCTCCACCTCCCGGGTTCACGCCATTCTCCGGCCTCAGCCTCCAGAGTAGCTGGGACGACAGGCACCTACCACCACGCTAATTTTTTTGTGTTTTTTTTAGTAGAGATGGGGTTTCACCATGTTAGCCAGGATGGTCTCGATCTCCTGACCTGGTGATCTGCCTGCCTCGGCCTCCCAAAGTGCTGGGATTATAGGTGTGAGCCACAGCACCCGGCTGGTAAAGCTGTTTTTAGAAGAAATGAACGAGAGGGGTGGGAGAGATACACACAGACCCTCAACAGGCGAGAAACATTCCTGGATGCATTGCTGCCAGAAAGGTATGCATTTCCTGCAAAGTGTAAGAAAAAGGGTCCAAACTGGCCGGGCATGGTGGCTCACGCCTGTCATCCCAGCACTTTGGGAGGCCGGGGCCATTGGATCACCTGAGGTCAGGAATTCAAGACCAGCCTGGCAAATATGGTAAAACCCCGTCTCTACTCAAAATACAAAAAGTAGCCAGGCGGGGTGGCGGGCGCCTGTAGTCCCAGCTACTCGGGAGGCTGAGGTAGGAGAATCATTTGAACTCAGGGAGGCAGAGGTTGCAGTGAGCCGAGATCGCGCCACTGCACCCCTGCCTGGGTGACAGAGTTCCAAAAAAAAAAAAGAAAAGAAAAGAAAAAGAAAAGAAAAAAATAGGGTCTAACCTGCAGCCCCTGAGCGCCCACCTGTGGTCGGTCTGTTGCTTCAGACCATTCAGTGCCCAGATATTTCTGGAAAAGCCACCTCTGCAGGCCAGACACCGCCAAGAGCAACCGTTGTACTCATTTTGTGAAATTTCCATCCTGCCGCCCCAGCCTCGGCGGGACCCAAACCGCAAGCCAGTGCCTCTTGTGTCCGGGCAGCTGGTGACGGTTAGACGTAATTTCTTGATTAATCACCCACGTTGCTCAGCAGTCCTGGCTGGCTGTCTTCCCTGGGGGCTGTCCAGTGGCCACAGGGGACAGACCCGAAATTGCAACACGTCTGGCTGCGAAGGGACTGCTTGCTGGATCGTCAGACCACACAGGTTACAGACATGAGGGTGGCTGGGTGAGGCCGCCATTGCAGGACTTGCAACAGCACATGCTGGTTAAATGTGTGCGAGGCACAGCTGCCTACCTGGAGGGTTAAAGCCACAAATTCCAGCCCAGGCGCGGTGGCTCAGGCCTGTAATCCCAACACTTTGGGAGGCCGAGGCAGGAGGATTGCTTGAAGCCAGGAGTTTGAGACCAGCCTGGGCAAAAGAGTAAAACCCCATGTCTACAAAAAATAAAAATATTAGCTGTGCATGGTGGTACTCTCACCTGTAGTCCCAGCTACTCAGGAAGCTAAGGCAGGAGGATTGCTTGAAGCCAGGAGTTTGAGACCGGCCTGGGCAACACAGCAAAACCCCATGTCTACAAAAAATAAAAATGTTAGCTGGGCATGGTGGCATGCACCTGTAGTCCCAGCTACTCAGGAGGCTGAGGCAGGAGGATTGCTTGAAGCCAGGAGTTTGAGACCAGCCTGGGCAACATAGCACAACCGCATGTCTACAAAAAATAAAAATATTAGCTGTGCATGGTGGTACTCTCACCTGTAGTCCCAGCTACTCAGGAGGCTAAAGCAGGAGGATTGCTTGATGCCAGGAGTTTGAGACCAACCTGGGCAATATAGCAAAACCCCATGTCTACAAAAAATAAAAATATTAGCTGTGCATGGTGGCATGCACCTGTAGCCCCAGCTACTCAGGAGGATTGCTTGAAGCCAGGAGTTTGAGACCAGCCTGGGCAATATAGCAAAACCCCATGTCTACAAAAAATAAAAATATTAGCTGGGCATGGTGGCATGCACCTGTAGTCCCAGCTACTCAGGAGGATTGCTTGAAGCCAGGAGTTTGAGACCGGCCTGGGCAATATAGCAAAACCCCATGTCTACAAAAAATAAAAATATTAGCTGTGCATGGTGGTACTCTCACCTGTAGTCCCAGCTACTCAGGAGGCTGAGGCAGGAGGATTGCTTGAGGCCAGGCATTGGAGGCTGCAGTGAGTTACGTTTGCACCACTGCCCTCCAGCCTGGGCAACAAAGCAAGACCCCATCTCCATAAAACAAAAACAAACAAGCAAAAGAACAATTCCAGGGCACCCCTGTTTCCAGTTCTGTCCACTTTACATTCTCGAAATAAAACTAGTGTCCCTTTGACAGACACATTTTTCATCAGCAGTGCGTGGCTGAAGCGTCTGTCCTTCCAGACGTCCCCCACGGCCACAGCAGGCAGAACCCTAAGAAGGAAGGGTCTGATTTTCCTCCTGAAGCCATAGGTGGCCGGAGGTGCCCAGCTGGCCGTGGAGGGCGGTGCTGACTCGTGCATAACCGTAGGTTTCACACCTGGGCACGTCCAGGCGGGGCACAAAACTTCTCCCTGAAACTGAAATGAAAGCTCTGGGCCATTTTAAAAGCAGTTTGAGGAAGCTGTTTGCGCAGCAGCTGGTAAGAAGTCACAGGCCTCCTCTGGAGGAAGAAAGAGCAGGGTGGAGCCTTGGGTTGACATGGGTGTTACAAGCTAGAAAGACTTTGGAGATCTCCCGGCGCTCGGATTGTATGTTTTCTGCTGATACATGCTCTGTGGGAGGAATGTCCCTGAAATGAAAGGATTGACACCTGGGGGCTGAAGGTCGGTCGCTTTGTGGTTTCCATCCATGGGGGACAGTGAGTGAGTCGTGAGATCTGTACAACAATGCGTTCAACCTGCCCAGGGGAGCCACAGGCCCCGCTCTGGATCTTCTAAGAGTCTCAGCCTGTGACATGCACCAAGGTCTCCAATGACCTCCCTGATCCAAAGAAGGAGGGGAAGGAGGGAGGGGAAGGAAGGAAGGAAGGGAGGGAGGGAGGGAGGGAAAGAAGGAATGAAGGAGAGAGGGGGGGAAGAGAAGGAAGGATGGGAGGGAAGGAGGAAAGAAAGGAGGGAGGGAAGGAAGGAGAGAGGAGAGAGAGGAAAGACAGAAGGATGGTAGGAAGGAAGGGAGAAAGGGAGGAAGGAGGGAGGGAGGGAAGGAAGGGAGGAGGGAAGGGAGGAAAGAGGGAGGGAGGGAAGGAAGGAATGAAGGAGGAAGGGAGGGAAGAGAAAGAAGGAGGGGAGGGAAGGAGGAAAGAAAGAGAGGGAAGGAAGGAGACAGGAGAAAGAGGAAAGACAGAAGGAAGGTAGGAAGGGAGAAAGGGAGGAAGGAGGGAGGGAGGGAGAGAAGGGAGGAAGGAGGGAGGGAAGGAAGGAACGAAGGAGGGAGGGAGGGAAGAGAAGGAAGGAGGGGAGGGAAGGAGGAAAGAAAGGAGGGAGGGAAGGAAGGAGAGAGGAGAAAGAAGAAAGACAGAAGGTAGGAAGGAAGGGAGAAAGGGAGGAAGGAGGGAGGGAGGGAAGGAGTGAAGGAAGGGAAGAGGGAAAGGAGGAAAGAGGGAGGGAGGGAAAGAAGGAACGAAGGAAGGAAGGAGGGAAGAGAAGAAAGGATGGGAGGGAAGGAAGGAAAGAGGAGAAAGAGGAAAGACGGAAGGTAGGAAGGGAGAAAGGGAGGAAGGAGGGAAAGAAGGAAGGAGGGAAGGAAGGAAGAAAGCAGAGAAGGGAGGGAGGGAGTGAGGGAAGGAAGGATGGGAAAAGGGAGGGAGTGACGGAAGGAAGGGTGGCAAAAGGGAGGGAGTGGGGAGAACAGAAAAGAAGGGAAGGAAGGAGGGAAGAAGAGAAGGTAGGAGGGAGGGAGAGAAGGAAGGAGCCAGGAGGAAGGAAGGAGAAAGGGGAGAAGAGAGGAAAGAAGAAAACGACAGAGGGTGAAGAAAGGAAGCAGACAGGCAGGGAAAGAAGGAGGAGAGGGAAGGAGGGAGGAAGGGCGGGAGGGATGGAGGAGACAGGGAGCCGTCTGCGAACGCATGTCCCCACCCTCCTTGGTCCCCGGGGAGCCCTCCCGGCAGCCACCTCCCCGCCCGCGCCCCTGAGCCGTGCGCCCTTCCCTCTGCAGAGCCCGGGCGAGGACCCCTCCAGGATGCACGTCCCAAACAGCACCGGCCCGGACAACGCGACGCTGCAGATGCTCCGGAACCCGACGATCGCGGTGGCCCTGCCGGTGGTGTACTCGCTGGTGGCGCTGGTCAGCATCCCGGGGAACCTGTTCTCCCTGTGGGTCCTGTGCCGACGCATCGGGCCCAAATCCCCGTCGGTCATCTTCATGATCAACCTGAGCGTCACGGACCTGATGCTGGCCAGCGTGCTGCCGTTCCAGATCTACTACCACTGCAATCGCAACCACTGGGTGTTCGGCGTGCTGCTGTGCAACGTGGTCACCGTGGCCTTTTACGCAAACATGTACTCCAGCATCCTCACCATGACGTGCATCAGCGTGGAGCGCTTCCTGGGGGTCCTGTACCCGCTCAGCTCCACGCGCTGGCGCCGTCGTCGTTACGCGGTGGCCGCGTGCGCCGGGACCTGGCTGTTGCTCCTGGCCGCCCTGTCCCCGCTGGCGCGCACCGACCTCACCTACCCGGTGCACGCCCTGGGCATCGTCACCTGCTTCGATGTCCTCAAGTGGACGATGCTCCCCAGCGTGGCCATGTGGGCCGTGTTCCTCTTCACCATCTTCATCCTGCTGTTCCTCATCCCCTTCGTGGTCACCGTGGCCTGTTACACGGCCACCATCCTCAAGCTGTTACGCACGGAGGAGGCGCACGGCCGGGAGCAGCGGAGGCGCGCGGTGGGCCTGGCCGTGGTGGTCCTGCTGGCCTTTGTCACCTGCTTCGCCCCCAACAACTTCGTGCTCCTGGCGCACATCGTGGGTCGCCTGTTCTACGGCAAGAGTTACTACCACGTCTACAAGCTCACGCTGTGTCTCAGCTGCCTCAACAACTGTCTGGACCCGTTTGTGTATTACTTTGCCTCCCGGGAATTCCAGCTGCGCCTGCGGGAATATCTGGGCTGCCGTCGGGTGCCCGGAGACCCCCTGGACACGCGCCGCGAGAGCCTCTTCTCCGCCAGGACCACGTCCATGCGCTCCGAGGCCGGTGCGCACCCCGAAGGGCTGGAGGGAGCCCCCAGGCCCTGCCTCATGAGGCAGGAGAGCGAGTTCTGAGTCTCCGGGGGTGCAGCTTGGAGAGCCAGGGGCGCATGGAGAGGCCACGGTGCCAGAGGTTCAGGGAGAACAGCTGCGTTTCTCCCGGGCACTGCAGAGGCACCGGTGAGGAAAGGTCTCCAGGTTTCACTGAGGGTAGAGAAACCAGCAAAACCCAGCGGCGCACAGGGCGCTCTGTGAGGCTGCAGCGGGGGCCTCTGCCTCTCTGTGCCATGCACCAGACAGCGTGTGCCACCACGCCCTGCTAATTTTTGTATTTTTTTTTAGTGGAGCCGGGGTGTCCACCCCCGAGTTCCTTAGACACTCCTTCTCACACCTGTCCATCCCCGAGCATGGACATTCAACCAGCCCCGCTCCCTCTGCCACTGCATCTCTGGATACATCCTCCCTGGGCGACCTGCCAGCCCCATTCCCAGCTCCTCTCCTTGCTGACGTCGTCCCTTAGCTGTGGTTCTGGCCTTTATTCTCCCCCAGAGGTGCTGGTCTCCTTAGTGTGGTGCACACCGACATTGCTGTTGGTTTCACTCAGGGCCACTCTGCTGGCTGTGGTTGGAATTCTTCATTCAGAGGAACGAGGACAGATTTATATACTTCATCTCTGATGACTCCGGGAGCACCTGAGGTTCCTGCACCTCAACTACTCCCGTGTTCCCCACATCTGCTCCCTGCTCCACCGCACCCCCCAACCTGGAGCTGACCACGGTGATTCCTGGCACGGTTGTTCTGACCTGGCTTGGAGGGCCCCCCACCCCTCCTCTGCTTCTGTGAATCCCTGAGAGTGAAGGAGGTCCCATCAGGCCCCTGGACCACCATCAGGCCTCCCTGACTCAGGACGAGGACCTCGGAGGCCCAGGTGTGGAAACGAGGCTCGGTGAGATGGGTCCCAGCCCATCCCAACCCAAGGGTGCAGCTTGATTCCGCAGTTCCCGGCCTTCTGAGCATTGTCTGCCTCATGTTTCCCCCGCTGGCGAGTCCATCCGGGGTCTGGGGAGCAGGCAACTGGCCAGACCCGTGAGACCGTTTGGAGATCAAGCACCGGACACAGGTGTGGACCGCAGGAACCTGCAGGGGTGTCAGTCGCTGGGCCCCCTCCATGCTGTGAGGGTGGTGAGCAGACTGTGTGTTTGCCTTTCTTCCTCTGCACCAGACGTGCCTGCACCAGCCCCAATACCTGAGCTGGTTTAGCGTAAAGAAGAGGTCTGACTCCCCACAGGCGTCCGAACACTACAGGGAATTGGATTCCTGGCTCTGTTGGGTGAGAAAGATGGTTCTGGAGGCGAGAATGGGAGAGCTGGCCATCCGCCCAGGGGCTCTGGGCAGTCTCCATAGTGGGTGGCCTCGGATGCCCAGCCCCTCCCTTTCTGTGCACTGGGGACACCGACGGAGGCCAAAGCTGCTGTTCAGGGGCCCTGTGTTGGCGCCTCTCTCCTGCCATCATTATCATGGAAGGAAAACAGAGATGGCTTAGTAATTAATTCAATCATTCCCAAAACCCGTGTCCACCCGGAACATCAGGATGGGACCGTGTTTGGAAACCGGCTCTTTACAAATGTAATTTTTTTTTGTACTTTTTTTTTTTAATTATACTTTAAGTTCTAGGGTACATGTGCATAACGTGCAGGTTTGTTACATACGTATACTTGTGCCATGTTGGTGTGCTGCAGCCATCAACTCGTCAGCACCCATCAACTCGTCATTTACATCAGGTATAACTCCCAGTGCCATCCCTCCCCCCTCCCCCCTCCCCATAATAGGCCCCGGTGTGTGATGTTCCCCTTCCCAAGTCCAGGTGATCTGATTGTTCAGTTCCCACCTATGAGTGAGAACATGCGGTGTTTGGTTTTCTGTTCTTGTGATAGTTTGCTAAGAATGATGGTTTCCAGCTGCATCCATGTCCCTGCAAAGTAATGAAGTAAGGCGAGGCCATCCTGCATTTACAATGGGCCCAATCCAGTGTCCCTGTGAGAGACGGAAGAGGAGACACAGACACAGAGGAGGAGGCCACGTGGAGACGGAGGCAGAGATTGGAGTGATGTGGCCACAAGCCCAGGGACGCCTGGAGCCCCCAGGAGCTGGGAGAGGCAGGAAGGATCCTCCCCTAGAGCTTTCCAGGCAGTGTGACCCTGACACACCTGGATCTCAAATTTCTGGTCTCCAGGACCGGAGGAGGATAAACTCGTGTTAAGCCCCCAGTTGCTAGGAATTCTGGGATTTCATTTCAGCAGCTCCCGCCGATGCACACACGCATTGAATCCACTCTGACATCCTGAAACTGTGATGTGGACCAGTGCAACGCGCTGGTTCCTGGGTGGGTCATTTCGGGAGGCCCGCTGTGCCCCAGGCTGGATCCCAGGGAGTGCTGTGTGTGTGTGTGTGTGTGTGTGTGTGTTTGTGTGTGAGCAATAAAGCTTTTTAATCACCTGGGTGCAGGCGGGCTGAGTCCAAAAAGAGAGTCATCAAAGGGAGATAGGGGTGGGGCTGCTTTACAGGATTTGGATAGATAAAGGAAAATTACAGTCAAAGGGGGTTCTCTGGTGGCCAGGGGTGGGGGGTCACAAGGTGCTCAGTGGGGGAGCTTTTGAGCCAGGATGAGCCAGGAGAAGGAATTTCACAAGGTAATGTCATCACTTAAGGCAGGGACAGGCCATTTTCATTTTCACTTCTTTTGTGCTTTTTGGATGTAATCTCCCAGCTATGGCCACTAGAGACAGATGAAGGCTCCTGGAAGAATGACGCCCCTGTAATGTGTAATGCTCTTTTTGTGTGTGTGTTTTTGTTTCTGTTTTTTTGTTTTTTGTTTGTTTTTGTCTGGATAGCACAGGAAGCTTTTTTTTTTTTTTTTTTTTTTTTCCGCAATGCCCAGCAGTCTGGTGGCTCATTCTCTCCATCACCCCCAAAGTCTGCTTCATGAATGACATCATGAAGGCATCCAGGATCCCTGGAGACAATAGCTCTGTGTTTTCTGATTTTTCTTGATTGAAGGACCAGAGTTTTTTTGGTTTTTGGTTTTTGGGTGTTTTTTGTTTTGTTTTTGTTTTTTTTCTTTTTGAGACAGAGTCTCACTCTGTCACCCAGGCTGGAGTGCAATGGTGTGATCTCGGCTCACTGCAACCTCCGCCTCCTGGGTTCAAGCGATTCTCCTGCCTCAGCCTCCTGAGTAGCTGGGATGACAGGCACGCACCACCACACCCGGCTAATTTTTGTATTTTTAGTACAGACGGGGTTTCACCATGTTGGCCTGACTGGTCTCCAAATCCTGACCTCAGGTGATCTGCCCACCTCAGCCTTCCAAAGTGCTGGGATGACAGGCGTGAGCCCCTGCACGGTTCTGTATAAAGTGCTGCAGACCCTGGAGGTCAGCTTCATAAACCGAGCACCCCATCCCCTCCTTCAGAACGCTCCAGATCCCCCTGCCATGTGCCGTCGTGGCATGAAACCAGCCTTCCCGCCTTTGCCCTCTGCCGAGCCGTGGTCTTTGGTGAAGGCGAGTGAGGCAGGCGTAGACGTGGGACTGCCAGGATGGTGTACCAGCAAGTGCAGCCTGAATGTCCACATGTCTCCAGAAAAATGAGCCACTGTTGTGAGCTGGTCTGCAGGACCAGGCGGGGGAACCTCCCTGGGAAACAGCGCTCTTCCACACATGGATGAAGGAGAGGCAGAGAGTGCAGTGATGCAGCCACAAGCCCAGGGACCCCTGGAGCCCCCAGGAGCTGGGAGAGGCAGGAAGGATCCTCCCTTAGAGCCTCTCAGAAGGAATTGGATACAATTGTATTAGATTGAATAGTGGTCCCCAGAGAGATCTGTCCATAGCCTAATGCTCAGAGCTTGTGAGTAAGACCTTATTTGGAAACAGGGTCTTTGCAGATGTGATTAAGTTAAGGACCTTGAGATTGGATCCTTCTGGAGTAGGGTGGGCGCTAAACGCAATGGCAGGTGTCCTAAGACACACAAGAGGAGATGCAGACACAGAGGAGGAGGCCACGTGGAGACGGAGGCAGAGACTGGAGTGATGAGGCCACAAGCCCAGGGACCCCTGGAGCCCCCAGGAGCTGGGAGAGGCAGGAAGGATCCTCCCCTAGAGCCTCCAGAGGGAACTGGGGGCTGCAGGAGAGACCCAGAACTTCCACAGAAAGAGAGAAATTGTCCTCCTGCTTCTCTAGACTGTCCCAAAGTTGAACCCTAGAAAGCAAAGCTGATACAGGAGCCTCCAGGACTGAAAGGCCTCAGTCAGCAAGAGACCCCGTAGGAGATCCAACCACAGGTGCTCAGCGTGGGCCTTGGGTGTGTCTCGTGGGGGTGGGGGGCGGAACCCGTGAAAAACCTCAGAGTAACACCTTCAGGGCAATGCACAGAAGATCCCTAAACTGCCTTGTAAACAAAACTGAGAGCTTGAGTCAGAGGAAGCCGAGAGGATATCCTTCCTCGACACTGTGTGAGAACGCCGACATCCTCCCGCAAATGAAGACGTTGCAAGCAGGCAAAGTGCTTCAGTTTTTTTTTTTTTTTTTTTTTTTTTTTTTTTTTTTTGCCTTTATGACGATTTGTGCAGCCACTTGGCTATGGAGAGCGACCGACACCCCCTCTTACATCTGTGAATGTTTCCTGGAAGCTGACTCCGTGTGTTCACTTGCCGAGCTTTGAGTAAAAAGATAGCACGTGTCTGTTGACTCACACCCGTGTTTTAAGATGGAAAACTTTACTTCTGTCCTTGGCAGGACATGGAGAGAGGGAGGCACTCCAAAAAGTCTCAGCCTCCATCAAGACGTGGTGGTTCATGCCGGTAATCCCAGCACTTTGGGAGGCTCAGGCCGGAGGACTGCTTGAGTCCGGGAGTTCAAGGGCCAATCTAGGCAACACGGTGAGACCCTGTGTCTGTAAAAATTAAAAATAAAACATAAAAAAAAAAATCAGCGTTGATGCTGCTTCTGTTTTGTTCCACTGCAGAAGGCAAATGTGTTTCTGTCTCTGATTTCTGTGGGGTTTGCATTTTAAACACAGACCCCATTTGATGCTGGATCCAATGTCTTATCCTCTTCACAGGCTCCCTGTCTTGGTCCGTTTATCCTGCTGGAAAACAAACAAACAAAAACAAAAACAAAACGCCATTGCTTTACTCAGGGTTCTCTAGAGGGACAGAACTAATAGCATAGATAGATAGATAGATACATAGATAGATAGATAGATAGATAGATAGATAGATAGATAGATAGATAGATAGTAGGTAGATAGAGATAGATGATTGATAGATTGATAGATAGTAGGTAGAGATAGATAGATGTAGATAGATAGATAGATGATAGATACAGATACATAGATAGATGATAGATAGATAGATAGATAGTAGGTAGATAGATACAGATAGATAGATGATAGAGACATAGATAGATAGATGATACATAGATAGTAGGTAGATACACATAGATAGATGATAGACAGATGATAGATAGTAGGTAGATAGATACAGATAAATGATAGATAGTAGATAGATATAGACAGATAGATGATAGATAGATACATACATACATACACAGATAGATAGATAGATAGATAGATAGATAGATAGATAGTAGGTAGATAGATACAGATAGATAGATGATAGATAGATAGTAGGTAGATAGATATAGATAGATAGATAGATAATAGATAGACAGTAGGTAGATAGATATAGATAGATGATAGACAGACAGACAGATAGATAGATAGATAGATAGATAGATAGATAGATGATAGATAGATAGATAGATAGTAGGTAGATAGATACAGATAGATAGATAGATAATAGATAGACAGTAGGTAGATAGATATAGATAGATGATAGACAGACAGACAGACAGATAGATAGATAGATAGATAGATAGATGATAGATAGATAGATAGTAGGTAGATAGATACAGATAGATAGATAGATAATAGATAGACAGTAGGTAGATAGATATACATAGATGATAGACAGACAGACAGATAGATAGATAGATAGATAGATAGATAGATGATAGATAGATAGATAGATAGTAGGTAGATAGATACAGATAGATAGATAGATAATAGATAGACAGTAGGTAGATACATATAGATAGATGATAGACAGACAGACAGATAGATAGATAGATAGATAGATAGATAGATAGATAGATAGTAGGTAGATAGATACAGATAGATGATAGATAGATAGATACATACACAGATAGATAGATAGATAGTAGGTAGATAGATACAGATAGATAGATGATAGATAGATAGATAGTAGGTAGATACAGATAGATAGATAGATAATACATAGACAGTAGGTAGATAGATATAGATAGATGATAGACAGACAGACAGATAGATAGATAGATAGATAGATAGATAGATAGATAGATAGATAGATAAAAGAGTTTAAGACTGGGCGCAGTGGCTCACACCTGTAATTCCAGCTCTTTGGGAGGCCGAGGTGGGCAGATCACCTGAGGTCCAGAATTCAAGACCATCCTGGCCAACAAGGTGAAACCCCGTCTCTACTAAAAATACAAAATTACCAGGCGTGGTGGCGGGCACCTGTAATCCCAGCTACTCGGGAGGCTGAGGCAGGAGAATCGCTTGAACCTGGGAGGCGGAGGTTGTAGTGAGCTGAGATCACGTCACTGCACTCCAGCCTGGGTGACAGAACAAGACTCTGTCTCAAAAAAAAAAAAAAAAAGACAAATGGATAGATACATGGATAGATAATAGATGGATAGATAGATGCA